GCTGGGAAGATTCCTCGTTTTTGTAGAGATGGGCAGCGTGGGGGGGGGGGTTGGTAGCAGGCTTCAGCTCCCTGCAGGGGGGCTGCAAAGAGCAGGAGCTGGACTGGTCTCAGTGGGGGCTGATGGCAGGGCAAGGAGCAATGGGCTCAGGCTGCAGCAAGGCAAACTGAGGCTGGGTATTGGGAGAAACTCTCAGGAGGAGGGCGGTGACGCACTGGGACAGGCTCCCCGGGGAGGCGGTGCAGTCCCCATCCCTGGAGATGCTGAAGACCCAGCTAGGCACAGCTGGGGCTGGGATGATGGAGCTGGGGCTGGTCCCGCTTGGAGCAGCGGTCAGACTAGATGTGAGCTCCTGCGCTCCCTTCCAGGCCCCATCAATGATAAGAGCATCGGAGCTGCCGTTGACTGGGCCAGACCCAGGTCTGTCTCGCCCAGTTTCCCATGTCACGGGGGGCAGAGAGTGGAGGCTGGAGGAGAGCGACGGGGCCTGAGCAGGGTTTTCCTCTGTTCCTCTCTCACTTGCAGCCTCCAGCATTGAGGGTCCAGGCAGGGCTGATGCAGCGGCCGTGCCCCTCGCCCCTGCTCCGTAGCCTGGTGCCCCTTTCCTCCAAGCACGTGTCCAAGGCCTTTGCAGAGCTGGCTGCCCTCTCAGCTCCCACCACATCTGGTGGCGGCAGTTTCACCTTTGAATGAGAGGCTGGTGCCACAGAACTGCCTGGCGGTAGTTTTACTGTTACTGTGGCCCCTCGCTTGTGCGTTGAGCAGAGTCGATAGCAAATCCCTGGTGACTTCCTCTTCACTACTTAGCATTTTGGAAGCCCGTCTCGCACCCCCTCTCAGGTGGCTCCTTTCCATATTGTCCAAGCCATTGTCTCATCGTCTCTCCTCATGTGAAAGCCCCTTCGTGCGACCAGTCATCTGTGTTGCTCTTCCCTGAGCAATCCCCTTCTATCCATTCCCCTTCCTGGCACCACCCCCCGCTTCAGAGGTGCCAGAGGGAACCTCTCCGCCGTCCTGCTCAACAGCCGTTACAGACCTACGGGCACAAGCATCTCCATCCCTCCCGGCTGGGCTGCGCTCTGTGTCCACCCCGTCCTGCGGAAGTGTGTCCCGCGGGTTAACAGGGCCTGGTGTTCTGGGCCCGGGAGAACAGCAGGTCCCTGTTTACGTTGCTCTCTCCATCCTGCTGGCCTAGACCTCTGCCTTGGCCGCCCTCCCGCACAGCGAAGCTGGAGCTGGAGCTGGTGCAGGCCCTCTCCTGCCCCGACAGCCGTGCCCGCCTTTCTCCAGCTCTGCTGGGACGCGAAGCACAGCTCGCGGGGCCTGGGCGGGCCAGGGTGGCAGCGGGGCTGCACCGTGTGCTTGGGTGGGTGCAGGGACGGGGTCACGCGTGGCGTGTGCTGGGCAGGGGCGAGTGGCCAGGTAGGGGCCCCGGGGCTGAGCACCGCCTGCCACTTGCCTTGCAGAGTCGGACCTGTCCAAGCCGCCGTGCTATGAGGAGGCGCTGCTGATGGCGGAGCCGCCACCGCCCTACAGCGAGGTGCTGATGGACACGCGGGGGCTGTACCGCAAGATCAATGCCCCCTTCCTGAGCCACGAGCGCCCCGAGAAGCAGGAGCAGCTGCCCAGCTACAAGCCCCTCTTCCTGGACCCGAGCTACGGCTCCTCCCTGCACCTGCACCTGCCCAGCGGCGCCGGCCAGGGCCACACCTGCCCCGAGCTCTACCTGGCAGCCGAGCGCTCCCAGCGCATGTTCCCCAGCTGGACGGACTCCGAGCTCAGCAGCAGGGACACGTACGAGCCGGGGCCCTGGCACCTCCCTGTCTCGATGCCCTTGTTTGGCAGGACTACGGCGGTGTAGAGCGCGCTGCCCAGGCCAGCACCAGCATGGGACTGGGCCCAGGACTGTGGCCGCTGTCCCCCACCGCCACCCTCCGCCGGGCTGCTCCCCATGGCTGCCGGGGGCTCCTCAGGACCAGCGCGACCCCTCGCCCCCCCCGACCTCTGCCTGCCACGGCCAGGGCGCGAGGGGCTGGCTCCCCTCTCGCCCACGGCGCCCGCCGGCCTCCCAGGGCTGCAGGGGCTCCGTGCTGCACCCCGGCGCAGCCGTTTCTTATCTTGTTTGTTACAGTTTTA